TTGGTGAGTATAAAAGTTGACAGTACCAAACTGGAATCACTTATGTGAGAATCTAATAAAAAGAAGTCAGGAGGCCATAAAAGAAAGGCCTGATAACAAAAACCCTAATGAGTGGCTCAGCTAGAATTCACACCTTACACAAAAAATCTATTTTGACAAGGATGACTACCCAACATCTTGGTGTTCAAATGTGAACTGATAATTGTAGTAGTCAATGATAATTGTTTCAAAACAACTTTTGTAACTTTGCTCAGTTACTTTTAAAAACTTTTGCCATGTGTTGCCGTTGATTTCTCAACAATGTTGCAGTGGACTGGGGGTGGGATGGGCTCTAGCTGCTGCCCTAAGAGTTTGGGGTGCCCGAGTGCTGCCAGAAATGTGGGGATCCTCACTGGGTGCGGATGGGATGACCTCCTATGAGTTATTGTGTAGAGGTCCTCTAAGTTCATCCCTCGGGTATGTGGGGGGTGGCTGACTAGGCATTGCTACCTTGTTTGCTACCTTGTTTTCTACCTTGTTTGCTACATTGTTATTTTCACTGTCGGAGCTCTCTCTCCTTAAGTCATCAACCATTGTCTGTGAGACAGGCACCTGGAGTGTCAGGCTCTTATCACTCACAGATTCACTATCTTTGATAATCTGCACAGGATTCTGAGAGGGGGGTATCATCTTTCCCTTGTCTGAGCACTTAAGAGCGCACGGCATGCCAGCTCTAGCCAAAGGAAAGACACGCACAGTACTGCTGCCATAACAAAGCAAATTCCTAGCACCTCAGCAGCTGATGGCATTCTGCAGGGGGTTCCCTACGTTAGACAAACAGACAGTGGTGTATCAGATCATACATATGTCCTGTGCTTAGTGGGGGGCTTCCTTGGTTCATTAGGTCAAGGCTGTATGCCCACACGGTGTCTCCGGAGCGTCACCTCTCTTGAGTGAGGGAAGATGACTTGGTTCCGAATTCTGGGATGAGCAGTCCCTTATGTGAATTCACCGGGCGAACCGAAAGTAAAAGGAGGAGCTGAGAAGTGACGTCTGCTTCTGGGCGGTGTGTGCTAACCTGGGGTCACTTAGACTGAGGACAAGGACAAGGAAAGGGGCGTAGGAGGGGGTTCTGTGCTCACCCTCACAGAACCAAACAGCACACAAAACACTGAGTGTCGCTCCCCCTCTTCGTGGAGGAACGACACTAAACCCTGCCTGGGCTTCATATCCGAGTCACGGCACCATTATGTTGCTCCCCCTCTTCGTGGAGGAACGACACAGGACCCTGCGCTGTTCTTTCATCTGCTTGGCCCTCCCCGGGTTTGCTGCTGGTTCTTCCCGGGTTGGCTACCGACCCTTCCACCTCCGTAGAAGGGCGGTTCCCCCTGCCACATTCCCCACTTCCGCGGGGGAGCAGCACACTGCCGGCCGGCTCTCTCGGGGGCTGCACAGGTGTTCCTTCAGATAGATGTTCCTGGTGCATGTTGTCTCTCTCCTCCTTTATAGTCCTCTTCCACCAATCCCAACTCTGCTACCCACACGCCGAGTACGCTGCTCTCCTCCAATCAGGAGCAAGTCCTACAGTTTATTGGTTGAACTGGAGGCAGCTGTGTAGAAGCTGTTTCTCCCTTCTCAACGCCATATTGTGGGAGAGCAGATGCATAGAATAAGTCTTAATTCCAGTAACTTAGTCTAGTCCGAGTTGCTCCCCACAACTGAGGGGCCTACTTGCCAAAATCAAGGGGGGACCTCGCTGAGTCCGACATGCTGTCTCTTTCGCAGCCCCACGTTGGGCGGCGCCAGATGTTGCCGTTGATTTCTCAACAATGTTGCAGTGGATTCATTTCAGAGAGGAACAGCGTGGTGGGGCAAGAGGCGCGGAGTCACCACACAGACCCCGGGAGTCGGGAGTCGGGTGAAAGCAGGCCTGAGGCGAGCAGCCGGCAGACTCGTTTATTTCAGTTGAAACTACATCTTATATAGCCAAGACCAGCCAATCTAGTCAAGGGGTGGTCCATGCCCCATCCAATCACAGCCTGCCAGGCAGTTTCCAAAGCCATCCAATCACAGCCTGTTGCCAGGCAGTTTCCAAAGCCATTCCTGAGTAACTAATGCTTGCTTGCCAGTGGCCCCCTTGGCATGGCCCTCTCATTCCACCACAGCCATGGAATGGCAATCCCATATTTTTGGGCTCCCTGCTTATTGAGAAACAAATTAGGTATCCCACCCTTCTGATGGCTCTTTTGTTTTATCATGAGCAAGCCAGACAGAAAAATCAGGTTTCCTGCATCGACCTGGCCCACTGTAGCTAATTTCTCTTTGAATCTAGGAAGATCACTACCTTTAAAAATATTGCTTTGTAACTTGCTAAATTTATTTTTGCAATTTATTTTAAACAGGTTTCTGGGTAATCAGTATTCAATGAAACAGCAATGGGTAATTGGAACTTGTTTTAGATGGATGCAATTTTAATTTTAATCAAATTCAGATAGATATATGATAATAATATCAGCATCCTAAGTCATTTAGGTGTAACTGCTAATTTAAATTGGGTAAAAGCAAATGAAAAATGTGTCTAAATGCAAACTTTTGTATGCTCAGCATGTTATATTCTATGAAAAACTGTTTGGGTTAGTTTATAAACTGTCTATGAAAATAGTTCAACACTGTTTAAAGTAACTCAGGCCGAAATTTGATATGTTATCTTAATCTTACTCTGGAGATTTTTAACAGGTTATTTTGAAATGTCAATCAAGGACACTGGCAGATGGAAAACATCACAAGTATACTAATCTATTCCTCTTTGATGTAAAATTAGAATCTGATCCTCTGTTAAAGCAATGTGTTAAAGTAATCTATTATGTTCTCTTGATGTCTCTGTTAAATTCTAATTGTTTAAAAATAGCTGAGTTTTTATTAAGAGCTATCGGTTATTTAAATATATGTTTATTTTCAAACATTTGAATAATCACCTTGTAACAATGATCAAATTTGGTCCATATTATGTCATGATGTTAAGGAATCTTATTTCAACCAGATATTTTGGATTTTGAAACTTCTTGTCATTCTTGACAGGCATTCAAAAAATCAAAAATCAAAGTTTCAAAGAATTTGGACTCTGAAATTTCCAGTAAATTTTGGACTTCAGTTTTTCCAGTTCGGGCCCAACTGAAAAAATCAAAAGACATATATGTCTCTCATCTTGTAGAGACACCAACTAATCAGGCTATTTGGATTATATTAGAAGTACTGTCAAGATGTGAAGTGGTGCTAAATTTTAAGTTTCTATAATATAAAATGCTATTGATACAAATGTCTGAGAATTAAAAAGTCTAATAATCTTGTGTTACTAGACATGATAGTTATCTTAATGAGAAAGCCTCAGGGGCCTAAAGAGTTAAATGCTTTGTAAAATCCTACAGGTGCTTTCAAAACTACTGTGAAGTAAGCAAGTGCCTCTTGTTGGTTAATGAGTTTATAATTTTAAACGTGGCAACTTAAAGTCTTTTGTCATCCACAGTTTTATATATGATTTGCTGCTATAAAACTAAAGCGTTGTTGGTTCTCTGTTTAGCTGTCCTCCTATAGGTTCCGGTGGACTTTTTCCAGCCACTTCTATTGTATTCAGTATTTTGGGATGACTCTGTAAACAGATGAAGCCAATAATGTACTAAAGGTACCAACTGAGAGAAAGTATGATTAACTGAGGTTACTAAGAACAGAAAGTAATTCAAATCAATTGATAATTTACAAAAAGGAGTTAGATTTTTTTTAAAAAGCTATTAAAACTGCTATATTTTTCTACTATATTATGTTATATGTGTATACATATTGTATGCCTACATGGGAAAATTTATTAAGAGTTTTATTTTAATTGGCTTTTAGATAAGATTGCCCATAAATTTAAATGACTAAAAATAATCAAAGTTATATTTTGATTTCTGTGACCTAAATCTCTGTATCAGATGTTTTAAATTTGTTGGTAGAAAGTAACTAGAAAGATTTTATATGCTTGTGCTTGAGTTTGCTGGTTAAATAAGCTACACCATGTTAGATATTTAAAGATGTTTCCAAATACATGTATTCTTAAAATTTATAGAAAGCATTAGACCTTCTGGTAAATGTTTCCTTAGTTGGTATCTAGTGGTTAAAACTGTTTGCTAAGTTTTCATTTGATATTGCTATTATCAGTAAGCGATCTGGGACTGGCGCCCTCATTTCTCTATTCTAAGCCCAACTTGTTCTTTCATTTCTCTGTTCTCTTCAAGGTAGGAAACTAATTCTATTCTAAAGGACTAAGATGCACAATTTGATCTTTATATCTTATAAAAGGGATGGCTAACATTTTCTGTAATAATAGTATAGCTAAAATGAGAGCTTAAATTATAATTCAGCAGCTAGGTCTACTTTGCCATCAGCACAGTAAACAGGCAAAACCTCCCTTTCAGAACAAAGGGAGAGAAAATTTTAAAGTAAGAACATAGATTTCCTTATGGGCACTGTCTACCTCAGAAAAACCACTACCATAACATGCCTGTGACTACAGACTTCTAGTTTAGGCCACAAAGATTAGAGATGGGACTTGAGCACCTCCTTGACTTGCATCCTCTGGTCTGCTTTAACAAAACCCAGGATAAAGAGAAAGCTAGGATTCAGAAGAAATGTAAAGATAGGTGGCAGGCCTATTAAATGTAACTCTGTACAGTGACCTGCCATCAAGGAGACCCAACAGGCCAGTCCACTGCAGTGGCTTTCAATGTGGTAAGCCTGGGCTTCAGCAGAATTCAGCTTGTGAAGAGCTCTGGCAGCCTTGCCAGCCAAGAGTTGGATCACTGGAAATGGACCTGCCTTGGAGTCGAAGGGTGACCAGCTCAGAGCCACAGATCTTACTGGCCAAGCTGAAAAGCCTTTCACTCAGCCCAGCTTCCAAAGTGACCACCACAGCTGAGGAGACGGCCAAGTAGGGTCAGTAACATTGCAGCAAGAACTGTAAATTTCCTGTTAAAGTTGCCACTTGCCTTTACCTGGCCAGCTCTCCTCCTAGGCCAGCGAAGTAATGGCAGTCAACAGGGTGCCTTCTCCAAGGAGGTTCACACCTCCCTTAGGATGTACCCTATGAAGAGATAGATGAGCCTGAGCCTCATGATTTACAAGGCTTTAAAGCCCACCAGATTATTATCAAGCCCCTTCTGTCAGTTTCTATTGGCCTCTCAATCAGAAAACTTATTTGTAGCTTAGATAGCACCTTTCTTAGGTTCTCTAATAACAACTCTGTCCTTTGTATCTAGCCCACTTGAGCCTCATTCCTTTGTAACCATAGCCTCTACTCTACCACCAATGGCTCTACTCCCAACCTGTGTGTACTGATGGTCCTCACCCACACTTAATGTTGTATAATTATTCAGAATTTCTCTACAGACAAACCCCTCTACCCAAAAAAGATGAGTGGCTTTTCTCCCAGTCTTGGCTGGAATCAGCGTTAAGCCACATCCATCAAACTGTCCCCACAAAGGTCCAGAGACCCCCCATTTCCTCTCCTCTATGAAATCCTCTCATTACCCAGTTAATGCTACTCTTAGGATCATTGGTTACTATTCTCACCCTAACTCTTATACTACAGTATCTATATAAGTGTTTACAGCAGGTTATAATGGAACAAACTAAGGCCTTCAGCAACCAGGCGGTCAACCAAATGCTTTTTGCAGGGATACACTCGGCTCCCCACCCAGGAGACAGTGGCTTGAGACATCGCCCCATGCCAGCAAAGAGTACCTCATTGCCCCATGTCAGCATGAAGTAGCTCTAAAGACAGATCATCGTCCCTCTACCCCTCCTGGACTTTTGGGCCAATGTAATCCCATACAATGCCTGCTTTATAAAAAACAAAAGGGGGGAATGTTAGGAAACTGGTGCAGTTTTATCTTAGCGTGATCTACACCCTGATTTACATCCTAGGCTCTGACTCCCACAGCCATTGCTGGAAGCCAGGTGGCCACATGGCCCAACTGCTGTTGTCAAGCTCCACCCCCATCCTAATGGGATTCTCTGCTCCTGCTTCCCTGCCCGCCCTCGGGCAAAGTTTTAAAAGGACCAGTTCTTGAACACGTGGCTCTCTTGGCTCTTCCCTCCTGTGCTCTCTCCGCTCTTCTCTCCTGCTATCTTGGCTCCTCTTATCTGCTCTCCTCTCCTCCTCTCATCTCTCTTCTCTCTGCTCTATCTTCTCTCCTCTCTCACTCCCCTCTTTCTCTCTTACTCTCCTTTTTTCCCTCTTTGCCCTTTCCCTCCTGTCTGCTGAGTTTTCCCCCAATAAACCCTTTTCCTTAAAAAAGAAAAAAAAAACAAACTTTTGCCATCATAGCCTGTGCATGCAGGAATGTAATCTTGAGTAAAATTCTTGTTATTGAGAGCCACTCTCCTCAATGTTATTAGGTTTATATAATATAGCATCAGAAAGGGAATCTCAAGCAATACTAAGCTGGAATTAATATGTGATCCTTAGGGCCAGTATCTGAGCCTTTTGAGCTCTCCTTTTCTACGCTGTAGAAAATCTCAGTAGGTCTAGCTCCCTCTTGTGACTTTATTTGGGATCTATTATTGTGTTTGTTCTGCCTACCTAGTTTAAAATTCTTGTGAGTGCATTCTTTGGTTTCATTCTGATTTGACTATGAATATCTAGATGACTTAGGTCTTTAATTTTTTCTTCCAGTGCTGATTTCTGAATATCTTTGGGAGTAAACACTAAAGATAAATGATAGGCACATGTTGACCACTTAATAGTCATTGACATGCATACTGAATTAGTGAATTCTGCCCTATAAAGTGTCCTATGTGAGGATAAACTGGCCATGGACAGGCAAGATTACCACAGGAGTCTACCAATCTTAAGAAAATTTTTGTACAGGTTGCACAATCAGGACCAAGGTCATCTGGCAAGTAGTAAAAAGAGCATTCTATAGCAGGCACAATTGTCAAAATAATACAATTTGTCCAAACATTTAAAATTCATTGACAGGTCTTGTATTATTTTCTTTTGCCCTTGGATAAGAGCCCCAAAGGCACAGGCAATAAAATCAAAAATAGATAAATAAGGTTACATCGAGCTAAGAAATTTTCTGCACAGCAAAGGAAATACTCAACAAAGAAAAGAGGCAACTGAAAAAATGGGAGAAATATTTGTAAACTATGCATCTGAATATGGATTGATATCAACAACTTATAAGATGCTCAAGAAACTCAACCACAATAAACAAACAATCCAGTTAAGGACTTAGGATATCAACAGGTATTTTTCAAAGAATGAAATACAAATGGCTGCTGGCGCCACAGCTCACTAGGCTAATCCTCTGCATGCAGCGCCGGCACACCGGTTCTAGTCCTGGTTGGGGCACCGGATTCTGTCCCGGTTGCCCCTCTTCCAGGCCAGCTCTCTGCTGTGGCCAGGGAGTGCAGTGGAGGATGGCCCAGGTCCTTGGGCCCTGCACCCCATGGGAGACCAGGATAAGCACCTGGCTCCTGCCATCAGATCAGCACAGTGTGCCAGCTGCAGTGTGCTGGCCACGGTGGCCATTGGAGGGTGAACCAATGGCAAAGGAAGACCTTTCTCTCTGTCTCTCTCTCTCACTGTCCACTCTGCCTGTCAAACAATAAAAAAATAAAAAATAAAAAAAAGAAATACAAATGGCCAATAGACACATGAAAAAGATGCTCAGGATTACTAGCCATCAGGGAAATACAAATAAAACCTCAATGAGATTTTCAGTTAGAAGGACTATCATCCAAAAATCAAAAAATAGCAAATGCCAGTGAGGATGTGAAAAAAAGTACCCTAATACACTGCTGTTGGGAATGTTAACTTATACAAATATTAAGGAAAATAGTATGGAGATTTCTCAGAAATCTGACAGTTGATCTGCCATATGACCCAGCCATCCCACTCCTGGAAGATTACCCAAAGGATATGAAATCAGCATATGAAAGAGTTATCTGTACTCACATGTTTATAGCAGCTCAATTAAAACTAGCTAAGATATGTAATCAACCCACATGTCCATAAACTGATGATTGGATAAAGAAAATGGGATACTACTCAGCCATAGAAAAGCATGAAATACTGTCTTTTGCAACAAAATGGAAGCAATTGGAGACCACTGTGCTTAGTGAAATAAGTTAATACCAAAAAGACAAATATCATGGAAGTACTTCAGGGAGGGAGTCCAAGATGGTGGTACAGCAACAGGATGATCTGAGTCATGCAGGCAAAAAAAAGAGAATTAAAAAGGAGAGAGGAGGGACTGGCACTTGGCAAACTGTGTTTGAAGTTTCACATAGGAAGAGAGAAGGCATAGGGGAACAAATGGAGAAGTTGGGCATGCCCCTATACATTTATGTCTCCGCTGTCCCCATTTGGACCTGCAGCTGGCTGGGAGAAGCCATATTGATTGTTTACATTTCCAAATGTAAGCAGGGGGCTACTTCATTTGCCTCACATGCACATGCCCATCAATTGCAGGGGCCACCTCACCACACCCCCCCACCTGGGAACAAGGACCACAACTTTTCAGAATAATTTTCTCCCAACCATGCAAGATGTACAACAAGGAGAAGTCCTGAATATTGAAAAATTGAGCTCATTTCATGCACCAGTGAGAAGCCAGCTGGGCCCCAGTAGGCAGGGCTAGGGCACCAGAGTTCATACCCACCCCCAACATGATTGAGAAGAGAGCTGGACTCCAGGAGGCATGGCTGCTTGATTCCACTTGCAATACACAGACACATAGCAACTCATAGCAGAGGGAAATCTCACCACAAGCACAAAGACACAAATTAAAGAGAAAAGCAACCAGACCAAAAAATACAAAAATGCTGAAAAACAAGGGAAAAACCCTAAATAAGAATAAGAAAGACACTATGAGCCTCCTAAAGAAATACTACAACTCTTCAATAACAGAAGGTGAAGAAGTAGAGATTGAGGGTATGCCAGAAATGGAATTCAGAAAATTATTTGCCAGATTATTTAGGAGCAACAAGAAGCAAATTCACGTTCTAAATGCAAAGTGCTCCCAAGAAATTGAGATACAAAAGAGAAGTCAGAATGAAATACTGGAAATGAATAATTCAATAGATCAAATAAAAAATGAAGTGGAGGGGCTGGTGCCGTGGCACAGTAGGTTAATCCTCTGCCTGCGGTGCCGGCATCCCATATGGGTACCAGTTCTAGTCCCAGCTGCTTTTATTTCTATCCGGCTCTCTGCTGTGGCCTGGGAAAGCAGTGGAGGATGGTCCAAGTCCTTGGGCCCCTGCACCCACGTGGGAGACTGGGAGGAAGCATCTGGCTCCTCGCTGTTGCAGCCATTTGGGGAGTGAGTCAGCAGATGGAGGACCTTTCTCTCTCTATCTCTCCCTCTCACTGTAACTCTAACTATCAAGTAAATAAATAAAATCTTTGAAAACATGAAGTGGAAAGCCTTCACAACAGAATAGGTGAGACAGAAGGAAGAATATCGAAACTAAAAGACAAATTTCTGGAAATATTAGACCAAATAAAAGAAGAAAAAACCAGAAAATTAAAAAAAAACATGGTTGGATATCTACAATATTTTATCAAATGACCCAACATATGGATCCTAGGAATTCTAAGAGGCATCAAAAGAAAGGATTAGAAGGTCTCCTTAATGAAATAATAACAGAAAACTTTTTCAATCTGGAGAAACAAAGAGATATCCAAGTACAGGAGGTACACAGAACTCCCAATAGTCATGGCCAGAAAAAATCTTCACCACAACACATGGTAATAAAACTCTCCACAGTAAAACATAAAGAAAAAATCTAAAATGTGCACAAGAGAAATGCCAAATAACATTCAGAAGAGATCAATTAGATTCACTGCAGACTTCTCATCAGAAACTCTATAGGAAAGAAGAGAATGGCAAGATATATTCCAAATCCTATGAGAAAAAAAACTATCAACCAAGAATATTGTATACTGTAAAACTCTCATTTATGAATAAAGGAGAAATAAGAATCTTCCACAACAAACAGAAATCAAAAGAATTTGTAACTACTCACCAAGCCCTACAAAAGATGTTCAAGGATGTGCTACACACAGAAACACAG